TTCTTTGTGCTTCCATGCCTCAGTTTCTTTGCTGGCAATAATATGTCTCAAAAGATTATTGTGAATAATTGCACGATGTTATACAGACATGTAACAAAAAAGATTGCTTATGCACGTGACATAAGTGTGATTAAGGGATCAAATACGCAGATAGTTTAAAGGACTAGTTCCATCTTCTCTCCCACTTAACCTTTCATTTTCCAAGTCTGACATAAAAACAACCTTTTAAACTCAAGGGAAGGATTGCTAATAACTTATAATGAATGAAAGTTGTCTGAAGAGAGATATTTTTTTAAAAAAATTAAGATCACTTAAAGACATCTATTTTCAAGACAACTGCTTCTGTTTGCTATACATTTTGAATTCTTTCCAAGAAATGAACATTTCCAGGGTGTACCTTATTATAGAAACAACTACAAAAGTAGATAGCATTAGAGCTAGAGGTTTGCACATTAAAATGTTTTTTTAAATTAATGTGGTATATGGATATACTACTCTAAAAAGGAAACCTACATTCAGCAAATACCCTGTGTGGAGCCTTAGATAAATGAGCAGACCTTTGACAAAGTTGCAAGGCCTTTGTACACATCACACAAGATGATCATCCTCCTCAAAACAACATTCCAAAGAAACTTTAAAATCATGAACATAATTTTTAGAACATACTCAAACTGGATAGAACTGACTAACAGAAGCATATATCTTTTGAAGAGGTTTATAAGCATGCCATTTTCATTAGAAAATTATCAACACACTATCAGACTTTATGTTTTTTAAAGTAGACTATACAGGTAGGTCTCTAAATCCATGGCTTCAGATATTATTGGTAAGCCTGTACATATATTTTATATAAGAAGCATGCCTGAAGTTCTGACTGTGCCATATTTAACTTCATAGTCTGGATAACTTCTGAAATTGCACAGAGTACCATTCAAGACATTTTGAAAGACACCTTCATGGATAAAGTACTTTTACTTAAATGAAAGGTAAAATTCAGGATTTTGCTTGCATCTGCTGTTAATAAAGGGATTTTTCAGTGTATAAGAAAAAGAAAGCCAGGCAGTGGTGGTGCACACCTTTAATTTCAGCACTCAAGAGGCAGAGGCAGATAGATTTCTGTGAGTTCGAGGCCAGCCCGACCTACAGAATGAGTTCCAGAACTGTCTTGGCTAAACAGAAAAACTCTGTCTCAGAAGAAGAAAAAAGGAAAGAAATATCAAAGTATAAAGACCCTTTGTTAGCATTCATATAGTTATTTTTTCACTTTTCTACAATGAGAGACACTTTTTATACACTTAAAATACACTTTTTCAAATATATGCTTTCATTATATGTATCATAAAAATTAACACTGAGTTTTTTTTTTTGTTGTTGTTGTTTTGTTTTGTTTTGTTTTTGTATTTTTGAGGCAGGGTTCCTCTACAGAGCCCTGGCTGTCCTGGAGCTCACTGTGTAGACCAGGCTGACTTTGAATTCACAGAGATCATCTGCCTCTGCCTCCTGAGTGCTGGGATTAAAGGTATGTGCTATCATATTTAGCTTACAAGAATTGAGTCTTGATAGTCATTTCCAAAAAGAAACAAAAGTTTTTACTTTTTTTGTGATTATTTTGTTTGTTTTTGTTCATTTTGTTTTGTTTCATTAGATTTTTGAAGACAGAGTCTCACTCTATAGCCTAAGTTGGCCTGAATTTACTATGTAACCTACATTGCCTCAAACTTGTGGTAATCCATGTGTATCAGCCTGCTAGAATGTCAATGAGAACACTAAGTTAGACATGGCCATAGAGATATCACTGTGACATCTCATTTTATAGACAAGAAAATTTCATTCCAGCTGTTGAGTGATGCAGTGCTAAACACATAGTGAAGAATCAGGACAGGACAGTTTTCCTGATTATAGGAAGGCACACATAACAACATTCATAAATGCTTAGAACAAATTATACCTTGATCGTGCCTTGTGAGACCCTTAAATGCCGGGAATGGTAGAGAAGAGTCACAGAAACCCAACCAAGCCCTTTCCAAGGGTTACTCACCTTCAGTACTGGAGATAGGAGTACTGTCACATTTGCTTTCACACTGCTGCATGGATGGAGGCCGAACAGTTTCTGGACAGTCAACAGATGCCTGCCCAGTATAGGAGAGACACTGGACAGTTCGCATTTGCTGTCCAAGGCCACACTGAGCAGAGCACTAAATTCAAAGATACAGAAAAACAAAGTATTAATTTCCACAATGTTTATCAGATAAGAGAAACAATTTTAATTATTGTACATATTAATTTTCAAAGTCTAAATGCAACTGTTATTGACAGGTATATGACTCATTTGTTTTACTATGGAATTGGTTTCAAAACTCAAGGATTGCATTCTTGCCCTAGAAAACTGAAGCAGCATAGTACTCAGAAGACAATGGATGGTAATTTCTTGGGCTATCATAACTACTCCAAACAATGTTGGCAGATTTATAAGGGAATAAAGAGAAAATCCTACAGAAGAAGAAAAACACTCAGCAATTTTCAGGCCAGCACTGACTTTGGATTGTTGTTCACTACAGATGTTCATTCACATCCACCTGATCTAGCGCTGTGACCCTGATCAGAATGTTATCTCAGTACAGCAGTGGTGACTGGGACAGTCAATATGAATTCGAGGGCTGCTCAGTGTGGCTCAGTGGGCAAAGCTCTTATTCCACAAGCTTGAAGACCTGAGTTTTACTCTTGGAACCCACACAAAGGCAGAAGGAGAATCAACTCCAGAAAGCTGTCCTGTAGTCTCCACGCACTCACTGTGTCCATGAGGGTACATACACATACACCACACATACTCGCCATGCACACAATAATATAAATAAAAATTTTAAAAAGAGCTTGTGTAAGTACCTTGAATTTCCTAAGGAATTATCAGTCACACACGTCTTAGAAATAGTCTATGTCAGCCAGTTAGAATACTTTTCTCTCTTTTCAGCCCACATGAAGGCAGTAATCACCTGGTTTAAAATACAACTCATGGCAGCATGTCTATGTAGAACCTTCAATAGTATAATATCAATTATGTGCCATTAAACTCTCAGTGGAATTTTTTGCTAATAATGCAATGTTAACAACACGATGCTTAATTTTTTTCAGGCATATTCCATTGAGATTTTGTAAGTTAAACTAAGTGCTTCTGTAGAGATGCAAAGCTTTGGCTATTTTATGATCTTACTTTCCCCCATGTGTGGGCACAGAGCAAGTATTTCTATAGACTGTAGGATACTGAACATCTTCCAGGCAAAACACAAAAGGAGTATAGATACTACCATGCTCCATGAGAATTGGCTACCTAGAAATCCCTTTCTTTCCTTTGTATGTGGTGTGTGTGTGTGTGTGTGTGTGTGTGTGTGTGTGTGTGTGTGTGTGTGTGTAGATGCCAGGAGTTGATGTTGGAAATCTCCTCAGTAGTTCTCCACCTTATTTTACGAAGCAATCATTCAGCCTGGAGCTCCCTGCTTCAGCTAGACTAGCTGGTCTGCAAGTGCCAAGGGCCTGTCTGTCCCCACTTCTCACAGTGTTGAGGTCTCAGTCACACATCACCACATCTAGCTTTTTCACATGGGAGCTGGGGTTAGAACTCAGGTTCTCATGCATGCATTGCAACCACTTTACATACTGGGCCACTGCCCCAGGCCCTAGCAATTTACTTCCTGAGATATTATTATTGCTAAAGAGTGTCAACTTATGTAATACAGGCTGGCCTTGATCTCAAGTCTCCTGTCTTAGCCTCCCAAATTATTGATATGAATGACCACGCATAGCTGAGTATTATTTTCTTAATGTGACTTAATAGATTACCTCTTTGACATTTAGAAGAACAGTGTTTAATTTCCCTCTTATATAAAATATATCAACTTGGTTTTCTTAAATTATTTTTTACTTTATATAATTGTATTCATTTATCAATGATGGTCTGACATTTAAAAATACATGCATGCATATATATATGTATATATATTGTATAATGACTGAAGTTTGTTAATTAATAATATAGCCATCATTACATATGATTATTTTTGTAATGATAACCAACTTGCTTCTTATAGAATGTAACAATATCAATAGCAAGATAACACAAATTGACAATACAAGCATGCGCGCACACACACACACACACACACACACACGGGATATAAATATGGAATGAAGGAAGGAAAGCAGGAACTGGACCAGTAAGAGGCTCAGTGTATAAAGGGTTAACTACAAAGTCTGATGAACCCTCAGCACCCCTGTCACATACAGAAAATTAACTTTTTATTATTAAAAAAAGAAAAGTAAAAATTAGAAAATAAAATGAAATGAGTTTAAAATAAAATATGTAATACCCATTCTAAAAAGTCCTGTATACTGTTTCCTAATTCACAGTCACAGTATCTATCAGAGAAAAGTAATTTGAAGTAATTTTCTATCACTTCAATCACAGCACTATTTTAATTAAGGACCCCAAAAATTCTCTATGAAGTTAGAAGGAATTATCTACTTTATGAGTGGGAAAATTAAGACATTGGTATTAACTAATTTACTACTGAATGAGTTAAGAACTAGGATTGGAATGAACTGGCTTGCACACTTCTGCTTATTGTGTCCTGTTGACTTTGAACTTGAAATGGTAGGATACAAAGAACTAGTGAGTTTGGGATATTTGGGGCTTGGATGGTAGTGTATGCCTATTGTCCCTGTTAACAGGTTGAGGCATGAAGATTGTGAATCTGAAGACAGTATGGTCCAGTATGGCCTACACAGAGTTTTGGCCCCATCTCAAAACCCCCAAATGATAACAATAACAATAATAATGATAGCAATAGAGTGGAATGTTTCCAGGTGTGGATAAATGTGGCTATGCAGGTGTGTGTCCACAGCTGGTCCCAATGGCTTGCCTAGTTTCACAGGTAAATCTCATACTTAGGATTCCCACATGTCTCCTTACTGTTGTCTGGACCCTCACAATAATCACATCAGAAAACTCAGGCTTGTAACTCAAAGGGTCCCATGTCTGGCTGCCATACCTGGCCCCAGTCTCCTGTCACCCAGCGGGGAGGAGGACAGCGGCCCAGACTACAGCGGATACGAGCAGGAGGCTTGCTCTCCTCTGGACATTGTGCAGCTGGGAATGTTTTAGAAAGGTCACTGCTCTTGCATAGAACAATCCGATGCTTGAATCCTGGACCACATTTTGGAGTACACTGGAAATAAAAACAAATATTGAATAACAACAGTTTAAACACAGGAAAATGTGAAGAGACTATTGAAGTAAATGTGCATATGTATACACTACATACTATAAGAAAAACTCCCAGTTATGAAGCTCCTTCAACAGTTTAAGGGGAAGTACTTTAATCTTTTCCCCAAGGTCTTTAAGAGCTAAATTCAATGTTTGCTTTTCTTGGCTAACATTTTCTTCTTTTATTAGGGATAGGCTTATTCCTCCATTCTTCCCCAGCCTTGGCCTCCTTCAGCTGTGATAAGAGTCTGCGGAGTTTTGGAATGTGGAAGCCTACTTGCTTGCTGGGTGTAGTCTTTGAAAGGGAACTTTTATGTTATTAGTAGACCACAAGAACGTGTCTTTGTGGGGCAAGCTGGTGGTGGAGTAGACCAACTATTGCAGTGTGGTAGTCAAGAGCACACGGCTGCAGCAAAGGGCACAAACGCCCCTGGACTTCTCCCTGTCCCTACGTCACAAACATTAAGAATTGGGGGTTTGCTCATCATACTGAAGGTGACGCTTCTTCCTATGTCAAAATGCTTTCCTTTCCCTGTTTCTAGATGCTTCTTTAAGTCACCTACTTAATGTTTCTGGGCCCTTCCTCCAAATCCTCATCTTCCTGTCAGTCAACTGAGGACTTATACACGTATGTGAGCTGTTATTTCTATCTTTCATCCAAACATGTTTCCAGATTCTATAGCTGTAAGGAACCATACTCCTTACATGTAGCAGTGGTTCTCAATCTGTAAGTAACAACCCCTTTGACAAACCTCTGTCTCCAAAAACATTTACACTATGATCCACAACAGTCACAAAATTACAGTAATAAAGTAGCAATTTGGTGTTTGGAGGTCACCACAACATAAGGAATTGTGTTAATGGGAGCAACATTGGGAAGGTTGAGAACCACTGCTCTATAGGATGGAATTGAAGAGTGGGGCATGACAGAAGATGAGAGTATCCATGTTCAAAAGGCCTGTATTCTTATTTAGAAGACAGGTATGTGAACACAAGGCTAATGCCACACATTATGAGAGTGGGTGTAGAAAAGAAATTCCTGTGTGCTTTATCATCATTGGCTTTTGACTGGTTTTCTTAAGTGTAGTCTCTGAACCTGGTATATTGGCATAGAAAAGGAGAAAATAATGAAGTGTTGTTTTAGATTTTAAAAAAATCAAGGATTCTATTATTCTCTTTATTACAATGAATTCAGAATGAATTTCCTCCAACTTAGAAAAAGACTCATCAAGATGTATTTTCAAGAACAACACACAGCTCTTCTAAGATCCCTTCAGAGGAGCAAGGGTCAGGAGTTAAAGTCAAGAGACCAAAACCTTGCTCTCTTACTCATTTTCAAAGCCAAATGAACACCCTGTAATCCTGCTACTGCCTCACTCTTCCGGTACAACCCACCATGGTCTCATTAATCCAGCTCATTCACCATGGTGATGTCTCCATCCCCACAACCAGGCAGCTATCTCCCCACACGACATTTTACTACTGCTTCTGCTTCCCGACTTTATGAGCTGCAGAAGAAAGGCAGCCCCATGAGGGGCCCTGAGGGTAAAGGGAACTACTGTCCATTTCTGCTATTCCACTTGATCTTCATCAAAAACTGAGAAGTGTTCACACATTCTTATTCAACTACTATACTGGGTCTCAGCCCTACAAAGCTAGCCACAAATAGCCATGTCTATAGCCTGACTGTCAACTCTGGTCTTTAAATATTGTACTATTTAGGCATGATAATAAAATTAAATTTAAAAACAATCACTTACAAGAAAAAAACAGAAGGCAGGGGATGCCACTTAGAACAGGGCCATTCTGAGTGTAACTGCGCGGCAACCCTGATCATGCAATCGGAGGAGGGAACAAGAGAGAGCAGGGGCGTTTTCAAGGGTGTGTCAAAAGAAAACAGGATACCTTTTTGAAAAGGCGCCTTCAAAGAGATGGATATTGCCCGCTCTTCTCCACAGTCCCCTCCCTCTCGCCAGAGCTCTGCTCCTCAGAGGCCCAGGGCTTGTGCTTTCCTCTTTAGCTGCTTGCACACTGGCTCTCTGGAGCTATTTATCTTTCCTTCCATTAACCCATTTAGGGAGAGCTAGACTTCTGGGTAAGGAAGGAAAGGAAAGCCTGCCTTTGCTAAATAAACAGGAATGGCAGACAACAGCCATTTCCTCCCCCTTGACCAAAACATAATGGCAATAAAGATGGTGTTCAAGGCCATTATGTCTACACTTCCTAAATTATGCTCTGCCCTTGATAGTTTTCCTAGGTCATCTGGGAAGAAATAACAGCTACTGATGCTTTCTCTAAAGTGCTAGTCCCAACATGTGCACCCCACTTCCCAGCATTTTTTTCCCTTGAGCTTTTGATTCAGCTACCGTAAACAAGACATCAGAAATATGACTAATGTGTCCTCAGCATGCATGTCTGACTGCAGGCAGTCTCCAGGGATGCCTCTGAGCTTTTTAAAGCCATCTGAGAATATCACTTCAAAGATGAGCTAGACAGAATAAAAATTCCAAAGAAGTGTAAGTATGATCAGTGTGAAATTAAATGCAGGGCCCCTTATATTTTACTGATATGCTTCCATTTCAAACATCATTTAAAGGTTCCCTTCTTCGAGGTGATTGTATTTGGTTATTTCATCTGAAAACACAAGTGTGATGATGATGTGAAATGAACCTATTTTATCCACTGGCAAAAGTTTTTTCTCGCTTCTCTTTTTAAGGGTGATTTGGTTCGACCTCTTTTCTCTCTTTTGCCTTTTCTTCTTACTTGAGGAAGGAACTCAGTCTGTAATCCAGGCTGATCTGGAACTTACTTATTAACTTATTATGTTGCTCAGGCTGGCTTCAAACTCACAGCAATCCTTCTGTCTCTGAGAACTGCAGGAATTACTGGCATGTGCATTACAATAGTTTGTGTTTCTGTTCAGACTTTTTAAGCAGCTTCCCTCTTCTCCTCAAATTCTATGTTCTTCAATACTTAATTCCAACAAACTACAAAGGCTTCTGATCCCATTTCAGGTTCCTCTTAAGAAAGGAAAGCAGGGCAGTGAGTGAGGTGAGGAAAGACTTACACAAATGCCACAGAGTCAGCAGACAGAGAAATCACTTCCCAAGGATGGCAAAGGAGACTAAGTCCCTTTCGAAGATCTGAAGCCAACTAGAACTGCGTGGAGCCACAGTCATTGATACACCCCAGAGTGTCTGAAGGTGACCAATGGCTCATTAGAATACTTGATGCACACTCTTGAATAGAGATTTCAAATGCTAAAGAGACGTGTAGTGCATGAAGGTATTTGTAGAACTACATGTAACAGAACATTTGTGAGAAAGCCCACACTATGCAAGTAACCCCAGAGTTCCATTTTTGGTATGGCATTGCCACTAAGCTTCTAAATCTTTCTTAGCATGTGCCCACTTCTTTTGGTAATATTATTCCTTTTTAACAAATTCTCTAGCTTTTCTTATCCTCTCTACATATCTCTGTCAAATTCCCTGTTTGGGGTCACAAAATCTGGAACCCCTGTGAGGTGACTACAAACCCTGATATCAGTGAATATCTCTCTGACCACCCCAGCTATGAATTTCTATAATAGCTATGCATTCATACCTCACAATTCCCCAGTATTAAACACTATCACACCATACTCTAGTTATTGCATAAATATCTTATTTTCCTGAGCCTATTAGGAGCTTTCATCTTCTCTGCAGTACCTATCCCAGGAAGCACTCAATTATACTTATGGACTCAATACCCCCAAACTATTGAAGCCAAATATATGATCTTCAATTATGATTTTTACCATAACAGATTTGTCATTGTTATTGGTCAATATCTATGTTTTTCTCTAAGGATCCTTGGCATGAATATTCATCATGCAGAATGGCTAGTATTATCAATGCACTTAATTTTCAGGTGAATTTAGACATTCATGAACTTTCTGTGGGGAAAAGAAATCTGTTTTCTGTGATTACAGACTCTATCATATCAATGTTTATATGCTTGACGGAAGCTAGAAATCCAAGTTAGGTGGGCAGAATGGGATTACAGAGACTGTAATATAGCCAGGCAACTTGAGAGAACACCCACATTCCTGCCAGAGATTCCATGAGTAACTGCAGCTGCTCAGACGACTCCTTTCATGGACATCTTTTTTGTTGGGGAGGAGGAGGTTAAGCCTTGACTGGTCTGGAACTTGCTATGTAACCCAGTCTGGTTTCAGAGCCATAGAGATACTGCTGCCTCTGTCTCTCAGTTGCTGGAATTAAAGTATGTAGTCCATCTACTCATGAACTAACTTTAACATAGGCCTTTCAAAGAGTGAGGGAACAGTTACGTACGGAGGTTCCTAAAGGAAAGTCTTTAAGTCTTTTGTTTGCCTCTGCAAACTTAAGAGGGCTCCTGGAAATAAATGTTCAAAGCAAGTAGCACAATGTTTCTAGCAGGATATTATAGAACCGAATTTAATATGCATCCTGTTTTGTTGACTAGAAAGAATTCTTTTTAGACATCCATTCTCCTTAACATTAACCAACACTACAGAAGGATTCGGCTCTTCTATGGGAAATGGGAAAAGGGTATATAGCAGTAGTTCTCAACCTGTGGGCCTCAACTCCTTGAGGTCGAAAGGCCCTATTACAGGGATAGCCTAAGACAATCGGAAAACACAGATACTTACATCATGATTCATAGCATTAGCAAAATTACAGTTATAAAGTAGCAACAAAAAGACTTTTATAGTTGGAGCCACCAGAACACGAGGAACTGTAGTAAAGGGTCACAGCATTAGGAAGGCTGAGAACCTCTGGGGCAGAGATACACACACACAAGCATGCCTGTGTATGTTATGCATACTGATTGGTCAAAGGTTAGTTGCCTAAAACCGTATTTTCTGCAAGGTCATTTTTTAAGTGTGCTTGTATTGTGTCATTTTGTCAAGAAGTATGCCCCATTTCATTTCAGTCAGGTTACATATAATAATAACATAAATGAAGACATAATACTTATTTGACTTTTGGTATGCTATGTCCCTCAGCTCCCTTTCTCTTCTCCAGGTACAAAATAGAAGAAATTAAAATTATAGCTGGGTGATCAAAGGTGTTTGCCACCAAAACAGCCTAACTTGCTATATTGCAAGTTACAACTGATTTGTAAAGAACTCACACCTAAAATTATGTAATAAGTTACTATATTACTTAGAAAAATTAAATCTAAAAAAAATTTGTGGGCCTTCAAATGAAACATCAGAAGGGGTATCTTTTGATTTATAGTATGTTTCAGGGTAAGAAAAGTTCTTGACCCAACTTTGAATTTCAGTTTTTAATCCCATATCACTAATGCTTGTGGAGCACCGGTAAGAACAGCCCCTAAGAGTATCCACCATAATGCTATTTCAAATTCACTCTACAAGTATTTCTTAATTAAATTAGAGATGAGTTTCTCACTGAGTTTTTTCTTCCAAAAGTCTCTCTACCTCCTGGACAAATAATAATAAAATATAATATGGCCAAATTCACTTTAGGTAGTTTATGTGTCAAATCTAATCCCCATGCTCAGGTCCGCTTAAATACTAAATGCTTTGGTATTGATAACTAAGGCATCTCAAAACATGCAGCCCCAGATTTCCTTACTTCAGACCAGTCCAGAGCTACCCACTGAGGTGGACATGACTGGTTGTTGCAGCTCTCTTTCTCCATAGGTCGGTGTGTTAAACAATCACTGGAGTCCAGTGTCTCCTCCTCAGATGGTCCAATCCTCCTGACGCGAGCACGGCCCTCGGTGCGCATCCCACCATCACAAGTCTTGCTGCACTCCAACCAGTCTCCAATGAACCATCTGAAGCAAGATGTGGAATACAGAAAATAGTGGCTTCAGTGCAGGGAGGGGTCCCTCCAGCTGAGCGGGCTTTTTCCCTGGAAAAGCTGACAGCTCAGTGGTAGTGGATAGGACAATGTAGATGCAATAGCCATTAAGCAAATCACTGCTGTCACTCCAGTTGTCATCCAAAGTGCAATGTGTAGGCTATGAAGCAAGCACAAACTAGTTAAACAAACAGTGCATGTGGGCTTTGGAATTTTTGCTCTCTCTCTCTTTTAACACTAATTTCTGAAGATAAATGATGTACCTTGTAAGATTTCCATGAGGGTTAAATTATATATTTAAGATCTAGAAACAACTGGTTGTCCACGGGAGGGGCAGAGTTATGATTTGTGCCATTTGCCCTGTTCTTTTTGTAAAAAGTAAATGCTTCACTAACGCCCATTCTTCAAGCTGCCAGTTTGACACTGATTTCTGTGAATTCTAAAGAACACACGCTATATGGGGTCCAGGGACAGTGGGTGCTTTAGACACTCCACTGAGTGCAGGCTGGGATGCACAGAGCGCGAAGCAGTAAAGACTTTTATTACAATGACATAATGACATCGTAGCGGCTTCTTCCACAAGTGAGGAGCACATGCAAAAAGTTCAGACGAGTTGGGACTTGTTCTCCAATCCCCAGAAATAAACTTCCTGTGAAGACAGAAACTTCACAGTCCTTACAGGGAAGAGAAAGACCAGGTATCTATACTTCAAATGTGCTCTGCAAAGGGTGGGGGCCCTACGCCAGTTCTACGAAAAACATGGGGGGGACTTCTTGCTCCTCCACAGCTAGTGAAGGAAGAAACTAAACGCTCTTAAACATGTCCGGGACTGCAAGTCATCACACGAACTGTCACATACGCTTTTTGGTGTCATTCCTGCACTATCGGTTGCC